TTCGATTACAAGAATAAGTGAACATAGATGCAATAATTAAATCTTCCAAAAATAATTCAAATACATAAAAATAGAGTTATAATCCACAAACAACCATCAATATACCAAATCCATCAAAATCCAAAAGGTTCTACTCCTTAGACATGGAGAAGTTCTTCACAAATGAAATAAAAGCAGAGAAAAACATAAATACAATCCAAACTTGGATCTTGAGTGAGGAAGGAATGATGAAATCCTTGTGCTTGTGTTCTTCAAACTCCTCCTTAGCCTCCTTGGCCTCCCTAGGTCAAAATCTGTCCAAAAGTCTGTCAAAAATGGTGTTTTGGGGCATTTAATCCGCCCCCAAAACAAATCCCGGACGAAACTACCCTTTCTTAGCAAACTATGACTTTTCCCGGACAGAATATATGTGATCGCGCACCTGGTCGCGCACTTGGTCGCGCATTTTGCACATTATTTTCTCCCAAGTGCGCGCACCTGGGTGGTAAGTTGGAAATTTGGGAAAACGTAAAACATGAAAGTTGTAGCCCTTTTAAATAGTTTTCCAATGATATATTGTGGAGCAAAAACAAAGTTCCGAGACGTTATGTGCATTTTACTGGACACTGCGTAATATGCCCGCTCGATTCTTCCTTTCGTTCCACTATCATCCGTTGATCCCCGAACTCGATCCCGAGTTAATCCTTAGGCTTTTACTCAGACTTCAAAACTCCAAAATAGCATGAATTGATACCACAACATCTACATAGCTCGGAATCACTCCTACAGGGCATAAAACACACAATAAGTGCAAAACACGCCTAATTAAAGCTCAACATAAGTAAAGTGCAGTGAATTAGAGTGATATAAGCGACTAAAATACGGGATCATAGCCTACCATCAACACCCTACACTTAAATCATTGCTCGTCCTCGAGCAATCAAACTACACTTCACATAGACATGACCTTTTTAAGCAACTCTCCTAACTCATCACACTAAGAATATTCGAGCAGATTAAGCACAAGACTGTAACATCCTCGCCTCAAGAGTTGACTCAACAACACCACACATTTTTCACAACCTTCTCACTTACTCTAATACAGAGGTCAATGACATTACCATTCCTTCATGATTCAAGTGCCCTCACACAAGAATAGAGAGTAGTTCCACAAACAATAAAGTTCAAGAACAATTAGGAACTCAAGATAGGAAGAATTCGCTCACTCTCAGAACAGCATTCATGTGCAACAATAAATGTACCATAAGCTTGCCCGTAGTGTACTACTCTACTAATTGAGCTTATTCAGTCAAGGATCAAGTAGGACTTTAATTGGTTGTAATGTAGGCAGGTAGGATACATTTGGATATATTGACTACACCTCCCTAAGCACTTTAATACATACAATTGACCGTTCAAAATCCCACACTTATGTCAAACCATATCTCCACCTTCACATCAATATACATTAACTCCCTACTTCTTTAAGCACAATTACATCAAGTAACCACTATCAAGGAAATTTTTCACAATCATACACTTATATTTGTTTCCTTTCTTTTTCAATTCAAGTGGCTCTTTCTTTTTCAAAATAGTGCACCTTTCTCCTTATTCAATAGTTCCACTCAAAAGCCAAACCAACCACCCCACACTTTAACTTTTACAAAGTTCATACAATTTTAAGTGCTCACGAGAGGTAAATGGTTCAAATAGATAGTCAATTCAAAAGAATGGGTAAGGCTTGTAATGTGGTTGCCAAAAAAACAAGATTATAGGCTCAAAGAGGTTTACTATGATACATAACAATTTGGTGGGTAAACTATATAGATGGCTCAACAAAGAAACGCCTAGATCACTTCCAAGACTGAACAAACTACTATTTCGCTTTACGGACACACGGGGCAAGTTCTAGACAACAAATGCAATGCACAGAATACACGAAATCTTACACACACATGGCACATAACTCAATCAGGATCGGACTCATCAAGACACTCTAATAAAAGTAGTTAAGCAAAGTTAAGATCGTACAATTTAAGGTGCTTATACAAAAGTTAAAAATTGAGCCTAAGCGTCATAACTAAAGCACTTATTATTCTCAAGGCATAATGAAGTCAAGAGATATTGCTTTCATTTAAAATCACTGCACAAGGTTTTCTACTCCTAAAAAAAATTAACTACACCTGATTCAAACAAAACCCTTGGAAAAGAACCGCGGCACAAAGAAAAACCAAGGAGAATTTATTATACTACCTAAGAAAAATAATATATATATATATATATATANTTCATTTCCGAGAACTTGTGAACTCCACCCCTAATTCGAAATGCATTTTTCGATTTCGCTCCTCAGGATTCTTTATGGAGCTCATCAGGCCAAAGTCCTTTAGGGATTTTTTAAAGACCCGCTTTTTTCTTTCTTTCTTAGACTCATTTTAAGCGGTGGATTGTTCTTGTATGATTATCCTCAACTTGTTTCTGCATTCATTCACAAGATTAATCCGTACATATTCCTGTAAATCACCAAAAATAAAATTCACATGATCAAGGTTAGAATAAGAAAATGAAGAAGAAGGATCATGTGAGTGTTCCTATGGTATGTCCAAGACCATTTGTTCCTCATTCTCTTCTAATAAAAATGTGGTTGTGGATAGGTGGATGGGGATTTGAACTCTTCTTTTATTGATGCACAATCAACCCAAACCTCATCTTCAATTATCTCAGTTGAAAAAGAGTCCTCTTGCAGATTGGAAAACTCTCTATGTAGATGTTCATCATCTTGGTTAGGCTCAATTTCACATGGTATCTCTTCCATATATTCACCATCATAATGCAATGAGCTTTCTGAAAGTATACTTATTATTTGACTCATTTGAATTGTTAGGTTGTTAATGGTTTCATCATCTTGTGTAAATCTCTCTTCCACCTTATTAATGAACTTATACATAAGCTCTTCTAAACTACCATTCTCAGCTTGAGGTGGTTGTTTTACTTCGCTTTCATTCCATCATAATAAATGTATTCATCCTAACCAGAGTCAGAATTGTAACCATATGAATACCCATACATGTATGGACTAGAAACAGAGTGAGAGTTTTCAAAATATGAAACATAGGAAGAATACCTACCTGCTTGACAATTAACCCATAGATGATTTCCACCGCATTTAAAACACATAGCAGACCGTTGACAATGTTCAGCTGCTAACTCTTCAACCGTTTTCTTAGGTTGGTTGTACTCTATCTTTACAATATTTAGAGTTCAGTATCAAGAATATGCTCTTCAAGATTTCTCCAACAAAAGAAATCTTGAAGAGAAGTTAACATAACAAAACTAAAAATAAGAGAAAGAAAAGAAAATATAAAAACTAATTCCCAGATTAGCACTACAAACTATGTCAAACACTATTGATTGCCAATCCCCGGCAACGTCGCCAAAATTTGACGAGCGCAAAACACACACTTAAATTGTGCTCGCTAGTCAAAGATAGTATAGTATAATTATCGTCTCCACATGGATTGGATTTAAACAATATTATCGTAGTTTTCGCAGCTCGATTGTTATCCAGGAGGATCAACAATAGAGATTTATACAATTAAGGATTGAAATTAAATAAGAACCTAAACTATTGACTAATGACAATCTCAACAAAGGTAAGTAAGGAGGTTATCAATGGGAGAAAATATGGGTTGATAGGATAGGTGCAAGATAATTGTTTGGGATCTAACTCTAGATAATTTACTTCTAATGTTCAAGTGAGTCTCTCGAATTCACTTAACTATTAGTACACATGTTTAGTAGAAACTCCTCTCTCGATTAAGTCTCAACTTCACAATATGAACCAATTTAAGCTCGGTGAAGATATGCAAGAATTCGTAATGGATTTGTCTTTAGGAGAACCTCTTTCGATTATCCTCCTGACTAGGTTTAATCAAGGATTCAACTAGCCTCTTTCTATTAATTAGAAGAATCTATGAACTCAGCCAACAATATAGTGCAAAGACATCAGAAGTTATATCTCTTTCGATTACAAGAACAAGTGAACATAGATGCAACAATTAAATTTTCCAAAAATGATTCAAATACATAAAAATAGAGTTATAATCCACAAACACCATCAATACACCAAATCCATCAAAATTCAAAAGGTTCTACTCCATAGACATGAAGAAGTTCTTTACAAATGAAATAAAAGTAGAGAAAAATATAAATACAATCCAAACCCGGATCTTGAGTGAGGAAAGAATGATGAAATCCTTGTGCTTGTGTTCTTCAAACTCCTCCTTAGCCTTCTTGGCCTCCCTAGGTCAAAATCTGTCCAAAAGTCTGTCAAAAATGGTGTTTGGGGGCATTTAATCTGCCCCCAAAATAAATTCCAGAGGAAACTACCCTTTCTTAACGAAATAGGACCTTTTCCGGACAGAATATGTGCGATCGGGCACCTGGTCGTGCATTTTGCACATTATTCTGCTCCAAGTGCGCGATCGCGCACTAAGTTGGGAGTTTGGAAAAATGTAAAATACGAAAGTTGTAGCCCTTTTAAATAGCTTTCCAACGATATATTGTGGAGTGCAAACGGAGTTCCGAGCGAAAAGTTATGTGCATTTTACTGGACACTGCGCAATATGCTTGCTCGATTCTTCATTTCGTTCCACTATCATCCATTGATCCCCGAACTCGATCTCGACTTAATCTTTGGGTTTTTACTCAGACTTTAAAACTCCAAAATAACATGAATTTATGCCACAATATCTACATAGCTCAGAATTACTCCTACAGGGCATAAAACATATAATAAGTGCAAAACACACCTAATTAAAGCTCAACATAAGTAAAGTGCAGTGAATTAGAGTGCAATAAGCGATTAAAATACGAGATCATAGCCTACCATCATTAATGCTACAATAAAAAGTAATAAAAAGGTGATAAAGAATAATAAAGGATAATAAAGGCTAATAAAGGCCGGAGGAATCTTAAGGTCTTCTGTAACGTCTCTATTGAATTGCTTTTTATCCGATCATATGTTTGTATCTGGTGTCAACATCTTATCTGGTCATAGATTTGTATCCGGTGTGAACAACATTGAATCACTGCTAATTGATACATATTGCTTCCTAATTCACTCACTTTCTGAGATCGGTTTTTACCGTATATACAATTGTGATCCAAAATTGAATATAGATGCAAGTGCGCGATTTCTCTTATATTAATGTCCCAACCCCGTTGAATTAAGTCGTCCCACGGCTGGGAGATCCAACCAAACGGGTCAATTAGACTCCAAAATGAACTTTTTCCGAAGTTGGATTCAAACCTTAATTTTTGGCTTTTTCATGAAATGCTTATAACCTTAATCGGCTTTTTTAATGAATAAAGAAGATCGGAAGCTTAAAGCACAAAATATTCGTATTTATCACTAACACTCCTAAAAGTACAATAAACAACTAAGATCGTATGAAAGAAAATAACTCAGTCATAAGTCAACGGATATAAGTAATATAAATTATACTACTAAGGCCACTAAAAAGATGATAGAAATTTTATATTTCTCCTCTCTGTCCAATGTGATTTTTATGTTGATGGAGTATTAGTTTATAATATTTACTTTGTCAACTTAACTTGACGAATGAAATTGTTTAAGATCATTGACAAAAGATTTCTGAAAAAGAATATTTTGGACTATGTGAAGATTCAGATCACATTATTAAAGAAAACCAACCAGATCCGATTTACTTTCTCCAAGAATTGCAACTATCAAATCCAAAACTTTATCCACTATTTATTGGGAGAAAAGGACTTTCGAAGAAAGAGAAGGAAAATAAAATAAAAATTAGCAGGCAATAATTGAAGAAGTAATGAGAAGACAAGTGAGGTTTACTTAGTAAAAGCACCTTCATGTGATTCAGAAGAGTTGACTTAGTAAAAGCACCTTCATTTGCCTTTGCCTGAAGTGTGATATAGGCAATCTATATCGATAAGTTGCTCGAACATGCGACTCACGCGGAAACAACTTTACTTACTGATTTTAGATCCTAATCTCCTTTAGTTTTCACTCTGGTCATTAACACTACCAACCTCCATCTAAAGCTGACATTAATTTATATATATANTTGGGCGTATTCACAGTGCTAACACTTTTGGTCACTCTCAAACTCCTTATACATGAACACAACCACTTCTTTGTTTTGGCTGAATTTGCTCATTTTGTTGGTATCTTGGTTTTGATTTACAAGTTGTCCACACTCAAGACTTGCTCTGGTACTTCTACATACTTATAATTTGTCCCTTTTGTTCACATTTCTTCTCTAGCATTACAAAAGGCATTTCCCTAATCCACTGATATGATAGATTCTAATTACACGTGTTTTAAGGAGTTGAACGTCTTATTCTTATGAGTGACCTATGTGAATATACGCCAGGAACAAGGATTCCGGAAAGTCCTGATATGAAAGTGAAAGTGAAATGAAAGCCTGCTAAGCAGGATCCAAAGATGTTTAAGTCCAATTCCAATCTGGATATAAAAGCCCGAGATCACATTACAGCCTTATTACCAAACACCAAAAAAATGTTTTTCTTGAGAAATAGGAAAAGACTTTTTTTTTAGTCCATTTGAAATAGTTTTTAAATTTTAGAGAGTGTTAGATAAAAGTTTCTCATGAATTTCCTTCCCTTAAGGGTGTGTTTGGTGCGATGGAAGTGGTTTTCCATGGAAAATGTTTTCTTGAAAAAATTTCCCGGTGTTTGGTTTGGTTGGTGAAGGGAAATTTTTTTTCTAGAGAAAAATATATAACAATAGGTTTAATTTTCTCTTTCTAACATTAATCTTCTAACATTTTTGTGTTGGTGCTGTAATTAGGCCTTTCATTGAAGACTCAACAGCTTACAGCAATATTTTTATTTGTAAGATTATATTGTAGCCTTCAAGTTGAAGGAGATATTCATACTTTGCTAGACCTTGTCACTCTTGTGGCAACATTCTGGCTTATTTATATGATGAAGTACAAGTTGAAGTCATCCTACATGGCAGATTTGGATAATATGAAGAAATATGTTGTGGTAAGTCACCCTTTTGGGCTTTTTTCTCTTATATTTGTTGTTGAAGTAAAACTCAGGTTGTCTGTTAATCCCTTTATTGATTCTAAACTTATTAGCAGGAGCGGAGCTAGAGCATTAGCTGCGGGTTCGGATGAACTCAGTAGCTTTTGCTTAGATCCTATATTTTTATTAAAAAAATCCTTTAAATATGTATAAATATTTAGTTGCGAACCCAATAATTAAACGACTATAAGTTATGTGGCAAGTTCAAAATCATAAACTTCAAATTCCGGTTTCGTCTCTGCTTATTAGGACACATGCTTCTAATATAAGTAGGATTATGTCCATGTACAACACCACACACATAGTAAACATGGGAGTAGGGGCGAAACTACATAGTCCGAAGGAGTTTCAATTGAATCCCTTTATCGGAAAATTATACTGTGTGAATAGGGTATAAACAAGGAATTTTATAGATGTGTAAGTTGTTGAATCACTTTGACAATCTTGATTTTGTTGAGTCCCCTTGTTATAACTGCTTGCGAGAGATGTCTTCCCAATTATTAGCTGATCCACAAACTAACCCTTGTAGTGTAAGGTCTTTTCTTCATACTTAGAGAAAAAGCTACTAAGCTATTTGGGAAATAATATGCCTATTCAAACTTGATAATTGCAGGATTTCTCAAAGTTGCCATTTCTGGTCATATAGGGTGAATTTCTGCGTGGTCGTCTAAAGTATTGTGATAAAAAATATTCAGGCGCGTAGTGAGCGAGGACAGGATGGAAGTTCGTTACAGATTTTTGGTTGATCAGTAGTCGACAATGATGTAGCACACAACACTACAAGAATTCCATCAGTTCTTTGTTCAGACTATGAACTTAACATTGATAAGTGTTAAATTCACAACTGATATTCTCATATTACTATATTTGGAAGTCCCTAATTAAAAGTTGTCAGTTTGGCCATACTTACATGCGGAGGGGATCAGAATTTTAACTCTATTGGTTCAGGACTTAAGTTTCATCCATTGAATTCATCACTTTGTTTGAGTGATGGATTCATAGTTCAATATTTTCAACAATTTTAATGGGTTTTACACAGATAAATCCAGGTATAGGCTAAAAGTTATAGATCCGCCCCTGCCTACATGTTGCGCCTAACGGTTAGGTAGTAGATTTCTTTACTCAAGTGGTTAGTTGGCTAGGGAGTTTGAGTGTTCTATTTTGGGAGTGCCTATGCTTGATAAGCTTTCTGCAATTTACTCTATTTGCATAGTATAATTTTTAAGCCAAAGAAAGTCAATTGAACGACCTTTATTTACACGTAGCTTCGCCCCTAATCCCGACTACCTTGATCTCGATAAATTTACTCTAGCTGCTTTTATGCAAAGATAGTTGTGAAGTATCCGTTGGAAGTGATTTATGTGCAAGTAAAATTCCTTCATAGAGTCATGACATTGCTTTTTGGATCATTGCTATTTTCTTCACAGATAGTACCTTGTCTCGTAATAGCCTTCTTTATCCATCCGCGGACAAATAATCTTATTATCAGTATACTTTGGGCTTTTGCTACATATATAGAAGGTGTCTCGGTGCTGCCTCAACTTCGCTTGATGCAGAACGTCAAGGTACATATCTGTCATTACTCTAATGTTTCATCAAAACATTCTCCGATTCACTAATATTATTACTCATTTTTTTCTTCTCAATTATATTTTTCGCTACCAATCAAACATCTGAAAACATCTTCAAGGAAAATATTTTCCGAAAAAATGACTTCCGCTATACCAAACATACTCTTAGTTCACGTGCTCTTTCCCGAATGAAGTACCTATTGTTGTATTTCAGATTATTGAGCCATTCACAGCTCATTATGTGTTTGCGTTGGGCGTTTCAAGATTCTTCAGTTGTGCTCATTGGATCATTAAGGTTAGTTTTGGGGTATTACTATTGTAGATTATGACTTTTTGAACTAAATACAGCAATTTGTTCAAATTTCAACTCTCCCAAAACCATTCTTCTTTTGAGAATGGACTCCAAACATATTTCGCGAAACAAGTATTGCACAAACGGCTCTTGAGTTAGTCGAAAGCTTATAACCTGAGTCGGATGCAATTGCCCTCATTGCTTTCGCAAAACATGTGTGTGTGTTTAAAAATTCTAAAATATGTAACTTAATACTTTGTTGGCACCTATTGTCACACTATTAGTGAGTTTAATGACACGTCATATTCATAAACTTAAAATTCTGAATTCGTCTCAAGTCTATGTGATATGCAGGTGTATGATACAGCTGGTTCATATTTGTCTTTGACTGGAGGGGGTTTCTTGTGGATACCAATGATCATTTTAGCCGAAGTCGTTCAAACATTCGTTTTGGCCGATTTCTGTTATTATTATGTGAAGAGGTGAGCCTTGTAAATTGTAATACAACTATTTCTTTGAATCCATACACTTTGAATTAGATAACGATTTAACTTGTATACACTGACAACATAAAAATATTTGACACTATCATTGTATTTTAATATGTTGTATCGGGTATTTTTATGGACAGTGACGTGTAATTCATCTGACAAATATTTCTTTATTTGATTTGCAGTGTCATACAAGGTCAAATGATGGTTCGCCTGCCAGCATAGGTGTAAAACTCCAATGACTGCATTTTAGAGACTATACTATGTTGGTGTTTTCTAAGTCAAGTTCTTCTTGTGAATAAATAAATATTATGGCATTGTTGCATTTAAGCTACTTTGCTGAAGTGCTGATGAATTGTGCACTCAATAAGGATATCATGAGATAGGGGAGTATATGAGACTATGGGTCGAGTTAGATCGGATTTTCTAATTAACAAACCAATTATATCGAGTTATTAAATCTAAATACCAAACCAAACCAATAAAAGTAGGGTTTTTAAATCTCGGATTTTTTGGATTTTCGGGTTTTTCAGAGATGCAAAGTCTTAAATGTGGTTGAAACTGAACAAGAATTGCTTTCAAAATCATATAGTAATAAGGATATCATATTACTATATTTTTTGTGGTTTTCAATATGCGCAGTCTGATATTAGGGTAAAACATTCTCTAACAAAGGCGATATCATACCAAGAAATGAGATTTGCATTAGGGCTTGACTAAATCTAAATTCGCGCAGGGAAATCCCATGTTGGGAGGTAAAATGTTTCTCAACAAAGGCAATTTCATACTCAGGGTTAGAACCCTGGACCCTTAATTAAGAATGAATAAAGCACTCTCTAATAAAGACGACATCATACCAAAGAATTAGGTTTGCATTGAAGCATGACTAAATCTAAATCCGCGCAACAAATGTGATTTTATCCTTGAGGCTCGAAACTCGTACCTTTGATTAAAACTAAATGATTACTTACTATTACATGTTTCCTTTAATTGTTTCATATATAAAAGAAATGTTGCGAGGTCGAAAGTAACTTCCAAATTCCAATATCCAAAGACCTTTTCATGATTATTTTACTCTTTCTTTGGCTTAGAAAAAATGAAAACCAAGCAAAGAATGGGCACTGGGAATTTGCTCCGTTATTAATAAAAATAAATATCATATTGATTTGGTAATAATAACAGTATGGTTAAACCAAAAAAAAACAAGGAAGAAAATTGCTCAATTTTCAACCGTACAAAGCAAACTTGAATCATTTCCCTTAAATTTACCAAGTTGTGTAGTTACACAATCTAGTAATTACATAACCATCTAGCAAAAAGTAAAAAAAAAATGATACAAGAGTTAAAAAAAGAGAAAAGAAAAAAGAAGTGAAAAAATGCCAAGCAAATAAACCCTTTTCCCGAGATCCACCTCTCTCCTCTGCAAAACCCTAGAAATACAACCCCTTCCACTTCCATAGCAGAGAAACAGAGAGAAATAAGCAAAACAGAGAACTTGAGGGCCTAACACCACATATATCCAGGTACAAGTACCTCATTCTTTTGTTTTTCTATATTTATTTTTACGTGCTATAATTCTGTTCTATCCCTTACTTAGGGTTTTGATTTTTGATCGTATAATTTTGTTGCCTTTTCATTTAAGGCATATGGAGACTGCAGCGGCGGCAGTAGCACAACAACCCGTCTCTGCTCAAGTTGTGCGTATTTTGACATCACACACCTTTTTTTGTGATTTTTTTTTTCATTTTCTGAGCTCAGTTCTGTTTTTGGGGGTTAGTTGGATACTGAATTTGGGTTGATTTTTTGTTTTTCTTTTGGGTATAGGTTGCAAATGCTTTTGTGCAGCAGTATTATCATATACTGCACCATTCGCCTGGACTGGTATTTAGGTTTTATCAAGAGATAAGCAAGCTTGGACGACCTGAAGATGATGGGTCGATGAGCATCACGACTACAATGCAAGTAAGCTACTGAACTAACCTGTATTTTCCCTGTCTTTTAGGGGTCGTTTGGTTATGAGGATGTGGGATAATAATCCCGGGATAAAATGTGTGATTATATTATTCAAATGCTTTTGGTTGAACTTAGATTCCAGTGTAAGCTATCCCGGGATTGTTTATACCGAAATTGTGATATTATTTTTATACCACACTCTATCTGAGATAACACTTTTCTCCCCCAATTTAAACTTAGAAGTAAAAGTTTATCGATGTTTATCTAGTGTAAAACCTAACACATGTTTTATATTATGTGCCGAATATACCAATAAAAGTATATCCAGTAATAATTTCGTCATCATTTAATTGTTGTATTATGATCCCCACATTATAATCCTATTATAAATTGTTGACAAACGAAATGACCCTTAGTTTGTTTAGAGATTTTGTATGTTAGGTAGAGAAAAAGTAAAGATTTTCTAGTCTTAAGAGTCCCTAATTTGTTTTTAAAGATAAATTTATTAAGTGCCGGGAAGAACTTCTAGTGATAAAGAGCCCTTACTTTGTCTTAAAAGATAAATTATTAAGTATTGGAATGAAACATGTCCAAATGGAACAAAGTAGATAATGATGAGTCATATAATCGACCACAACTAGTTTGGAATTGAGAAATAGGGTTTTGCAGTTGCGATCTTTCTTGTGTCCTTCTCCTGGTATTTTAACGTAGTTTGTGAAACTTTCCTCCATTGTGTCCAAACTACGTGCTGTTTATGATTATAGCACTGTGTCTTTGTTTCTATTTGGCTAGCTGCAAATTTTTTACCATAAAGGCGATGTATGGGCTTCAAATTTTAACAGTTGTTGAATTGATTTTACGTTCTGCACTTAAGCGGTTAGTCATGGCTATGTTAAATGCTGTGACGTGGAGGCATGCGAAGATTGCCGGTGCAGGGTTTTGGGAATATAGAATTATCATCTTTTCCAAGACTTTGAAAGTTGTCAAACCTTGATCTACTCACGTTTCATTATAAGAACGAGATGGAGTTGACAGTTTACTTTGCCACTGTGCTTGTTCTCTGTGGTAAGTTTTGAGTTTAAGATTCTAAAGCCTGTCATTTTCTTTTGTTTGATGTCAAACACACAGGCAATCAATGATAAGATACTCTCACTAAACTATGGGGACTTCAGAGCGGAGATTATATCTGTGGATGCGCAAGAATCCTACAATGGGGGAGTGCATGTCCTTGTGACTGGATTATTGGCTGGGAACGACAACGTGGTCCGGAATTTCTCTCAAACTTTCTTCCTAGCACCACAAGACCGAGGATACTTTGTTCTGAATGACATGTTTCGATATGGAGACAGTGTCAATCAGCATGTTACTACCGAGGTCCCGGCAAATAATGCTGTGGCTCCTGTGACTCCTGAACAAGGTAATATAAGCTGATAGGTTATTTTTTTGTTTGATCGTGACCTTAAATTGGAACTGAGCATTGAAGTGAGTGTTTTCTATTTGTTGCAGATCCCCCTCCGGTGCAGCAGAATCACAATTCTGAGCAGAGCTCACCATCAGTGGAGGAAGCTAATGAGGGAGAAGTTTACAACCCACCTGAGAATGGTGACATGCCTGTCGAAGAGGAAGTTCCTGTCGCTGAGGTTGTTGATGAAATGCAAGACGACTCTCAAATAGCAGTTGAATCTAACATCAAAAGTGAAGATGCTCCTAAGAAGTCATATGCTTCAATTGTAAGTTTGTTCCCCACCTCCCCCGCCACAAAAAAAAAAAAAAAAAAAAAGTAGAAGCCAAATGCTTCTGCATGTTTATTTGTGAAGGGTTGAACAAAATTTTGAAGGTTTACCGTTTATACATAAGAGATTTTTGGAGGGGGGAGGGGTATGATGGACCTTTATTAAGTTAAAACAATTTGCAATATTTTTTCAGGTCATGCATCTCAAGGAAAGTGCTGCCAGTTTCTCCCCTCCTTCCGCACCTGCTCATCGGAAGCCTACGGCAAAGAGCGTTGAGCAAGTGAATCAACCTCCTATAACAGCTACTGATGGCCCAGCTTTCAGCGTAGATTCTGTTAATGACGCGAATAACCAAGAGGGAGAAGGCATGCAACTATGCTATTGTGCTCCCATTTTCTACTCCCTTCATCCCAATTTATGTGACACTCTTTCCTTTTTAGTCAGTACTAAAAAGAATGTCAATTTTCCTTGTTTAGAAATAATTTATCTTTAGAATTCCTACTTTACCCTTAATGAATTAATTTACAACCACACAAATATCTATGGTCTGTTTTAGACCACAAGTTTCAGAAGTCTTCCTTTCTTTCTTAAACTTCATGTCGAGTCAAACACCGCCACATAAAATTAGGACGGAGGGTGCATCTCTTTTTAATTTTGTCTTGCTGCTAATATATTTGATATCTATTCATATGTTCGCTTTTAACTGCTTCCAGCAACTGAAGGCTACTCAATCTACATAAAAGGCTTGCCTATGAGTGCAACTGTGGCGTTACTTGCAGATGAGTTCAAGAAGTTTGGGCCTATCAAGACTGGAGGCATTCAAGTCAGAAACAGAGTATGTGGTTTGCCCTAACATTCTAACTAATTAAGGAAAAAGCAGAGTAAATTGTTGGTTAATGGATTTCTTTTTTTGGGCGCTCGCTGATTCTGTAAACAATCGTAATTGGCGGATGACAGCAGCAGGGATTTTCGTTCGGTTTTGTGGAATTTGAGGTGGCAAGTGCTGTGCAAAAAGCTATTGAGGTATCTTCAATTTCGTTCTCTATATATCATGTCTAGTTTATTAGTCTAACAATTTTATTGTTTTGAGAATCATTGATAAAATTTATTTTTAATGCCGATTAAGATTATTGTGGCTTACCGTCTTAGCTAATTTATTCATAGCTATCTGAAATGCCAGGTCTAGGAAAATTGCGACTTGGCATACTTAATCTGCACTGTATTTCGATAAAACTTTATCAGATTTCCCTACAATTTCAATTGCTGTGATGAATCCTTGTAGAAGATGAAATGTTTGGGATTCTTCGGAGAGACCAAATTATCCCTTTTTAATTTTTTAGTGGTCCATCAAATAGAATGGCTAAATTTCATGTAGAATGTATTGGTTATGAGCCTTGTGAAAGTCTTTATGTGTTCAATTCTTCTTAGAAAAATAGTATCTCCGTCATGCATTAGAGTTAATACCGGAAACGCTTAAGATAACTTACATAGTCCTTATATTATGTACACTTTTATACGGTGTATTCCGACTCATGTATGTTTTTTATGTCTCATGAACTTCTATCTAGGTAGGTTTCATCATTAGTCTTACTTCACTATTTTGGGAATCTATTGTTTCTTCTTTGCAAGTTTTATATGATGCAATTACCCTTCTGATCTTCAAGTGTAGCAAAGTTTAACCGCTGGCCTTACATTGTCTCTTCAATGTAAGGCCCCAACTATAGAAGACCCCAACTATTTCCAGACCCGGTTTAGTTGATAAATCACTTTTTAAAGGTGTCTTATAAAATGAAGAAATTGATTTTACATAGTCAAGAGTATTAATATTTTAGTGATATCATAATAATTTGAGTATTTTTATGCTGGTATCAACCTACCATTTTTCTTGATAAGTTTTTTCCTCTATTTCAGGCATCTCCAATTTCAATTGGTGGACGCCAAGCTGTTGTTGAGGAAAAAAAGTCTACACATTCTCGAGGCAAGTTTAATATTATCCTTCTGAAGTAATTAGAGAATGACTGCATAGTTAATTGATAGAAAATTTTGAAAAAATTGCACAAATGACATGTGGTAGAGTTCCTGAGAACAAGAAATTGAACCAACTTTTAGCCCCAGGAGCTGTTCTTTGTATTTCAGTTTTCGGTTATCTTATCAGTTCTGTTCTCTATAGCACAGGGGCATTCTCTCTTACATTTATCGATTTTTTTTTTGAATTAATTATCTTCCTCCTTTCAGGTAACAACAGGGCTAGGTTTCAGTCCGGAAGGGGTTTTGGTTACAGGAATGATGGAGTAAGAGGTCGAGGAAACTATGGAGGTGGCAGGGGTTACGGTCGAGGTGATTTCGAAGGAAGAACTGAGTACAATAACAGGGGTGGCAACCGCGGCTGGTCATCAAACCGTGGTGGGGGCGATGGATACCAGCGAACTGATAACACAGGTGGCAATGCTGCGCGACCGAATCGTGGTGGAGGGATGCCTAATGGAACCGCCAAACACACAACAGCATGGGTTTCTGCTGCACCTGAAATATAGTAGCTTAAAAGCAAAATTTCAACTGATTTTAGTAGTTCTGAAATTGGCATTTTCTAACAGTTGACGTCCTGGGTAGGAGAAGTTTTGTCAGGAGCAACGATATTTTTGCAAGGGATCTTTTGCTAATTTTCAGTTCCCTAATTTCCCCTTTAATTGGTATAGGTGGGGTAGGAATTAAAGGTAGGAATTTAACTTTAAGTAGCTTTTGTTAAGTAGTATATAGAGTATCTAAGTCCCTAGGAAGAGATTATACAGTCATTTTTACAGACCTCTCTATATCAGTTGAATTATTTTTGTTTGGAGGCTATATTGTGGCAATTGTGGAAACGAGTTTATATTAACTGTAAATTTCTCATGGTTCTATTATCGGTTTGGCAATAGAGATTAAAATTTTTAGGTTGTCCATCTTTATATACGAGTATCATTCTGTCAATCCGACCATTGTAGTGGTGACTGTGGCTGGTCTCTTTTTCAAACAAAAACTTGAATTGTGATTGCTTATGTGAATATAAATATCAGTCCCTGTTTTCTGTTTGGGATAGTGTTTTTTTAAGGTTACGTAAATAAAAGTTGAAAAACGTTTGGCAGATGTTTTACTCTGTCTAAGTGAAAGCATAACTGGTTTGAAACCCGAATAAAGCAGGAGGGCTGCAGAAGATTTATAGCCGTTTTGGCCAAGCTTATTTTTGGGCCAAAAAAAAAGAAAGTAGTTTCTTTTCAAAAGCACTTTTCTGAGAAGTACTTTTGAGAAAAATATATTTAGAAGCAATTTTCAAAAGCTTGGCCAAAAATTAATTACTGCTCAAAAGTATTTTTTAAATTAATTAGCTAAACACAAACTGATTTTTAAAATAAGCTGATTTTAGAAGCTTGGCCAAACAGGCTATTACACGTGTAAAAGTAGTTTAAACGTGATGAATCCTCTGAATATTTACTCAATTTCCGTGGTCTTGTAACAAATTTTCCATGTACCAGTATTGCTTTATGTACTTAGTAGCAACTGTTATCTAAATCACGTTAGTCTTGAGAAGTATATTTAGACTTGGGCATAATACATAGTTTGCATATTTAATACTAGAAACCTGTTCTCCTTGCAACAACTCAATTCATAAACTCTGTCTGTTTGCTCACATTGTTGATCCCAAATCCAGATAAAGGAGGACGTTGCGGTAGACTGACTACAAACATAAAACTAGTTAATTTATAATAAATCCACACAATACATAATTGTTGTTGTAGCTAATTTAATTCATAGAAAGCCAATTTCATTAGAAGCCATCTCCACAGTGCACCTTCTTGCTATTCTTGTTTACATGATGTAGCCATCCAAATCCTCTAAATGCCTTAGAAATCTTGACAAAATTAGGCTTTCCCATTCCCAAATTCATCTTTCCAGCTGAAAACTTTAATGCCTGTAAACAACAAAGCTGCTGCTCATCCATTTCTTCTTCAACCTCATCATATTCTTTTTTATATCCCTTCAATTCTCCTTTCTTTTTCATCTTTTTCAAACTATTTTCTCTTTTTGCCTTGCTCTTTTTGGTGTCCATTTCATGTGTTTCCCACAACAAATCCATTCCTTCACTATTGCTATAGCTAGAATTGTGTCTCTCCTCAAATAGTTTGCATGCTAATGTCCGTTTCCACTCTTTTTCTTTCCTCATTGATCCATAACTGATTCCCACATTATCAAGATTTTCACTAAGTCCCTTAGAATGGACATTTTTCACTAGTACCTCATCCTTTTGTTTTTCAATGTTTTTTTCAACTTTTTTCACTTCCACATTCTGACTCCAAGTTGTGTTTTCAAACTCATCTACTTCTTTGAAGAAGTTTTCCAATGTCTTCTCCTCTATGACATGCTTAGTACTCTCCATTTTAGCTGAAAATTCTTCTAAATTTTCTTCTAAAGACTCATCTTTGTCATGACATGAAGAATCAAGAATAGGGGTGGTATCACTTTCCTCAGCTGATGTATAGTCCAAGAATTCATCAGAGTTTTCTTGAACATCAACCGTCGACATGCCAAACACGATCTTGTAAGCTTCACATTCCTCCAACTTGTCAGTTTCATCAACCCTTTGTGATTTTAATCTTGATTCAAAGAATTTTGTGGAAGTAGAGTTGTTGTGGAGGATGAGAGTTGGAGAGATAGTAAGAAGGGCAAGGAGCAAAAGGGTAGTTGTAATGAAGAGAGGAGAGAGGAAAGAGAGGAGTTTAAGAAGGTAAGGAGAGAAGAAAATGAAGTAGGAGAAGTAAAGAGGGTGAGATAGAATGAAAGAAAAGAAGTGGAAAAAGTATGACATGAGAAGACTCAAAATTTGAGGCCTAGTTGAAGTAGTATAACTTCTTGGCAAGCACAATTCTGGCATTTTTCTTAATATCTAAATAGTTGTTCTTGTAACCAATGTGACTGTTTTGAGAATCTATAGAATTAGCTACTAGATTCTGTTGATTCACCGTCCATTTGTCCTTAAACTAGAAGGGGTTAAAAAAGGACTTGATTGCAGTCACACTTTTGTTTTAGAGAAGTGTAATGATCCAAAAAAACTCTTCTGGCTTAAGCACTGGTCAACTTATGACGTGTCACATACCCTGAAAACAACAATCGCAACAGTTAATAAGAATGTGAAAATTAGTGGAGGGAAGAAGAAGGGGTAATTGAAAATTGGAAGATGGAGTAGAAATGGGAAAGAAGGAGAAGGAGAAGGAGGAGGAGGAATGTTGTGATTGTTATAGTAAATGTGGTGTGAATGAAATGAATAGAATGTGCTATGCCTCTCTATAAACCTCTGTTTGGCTCTGTGAGAATCTAAAACGAAAAGTAATAATAGAGGGAGAGAAACATCATTTCCTTTGGAAACTTTTCTTCTTCTTTAACCACTCAATAATTTGCCTTTTTCTCTTGAAATTTGCCTAAACTAACAATGGAAGGAGAAACATCATTTCCTTTGAAAAATTTTCTTCCTCTTTAACCAGTAACCACCAAATAATGAGCCTTTTTCCCTTGAAATTTACCTAAACATCCTGATGGGAATCTAACTAAAATTTCCATTTTTTAATTACTCCCATTGCCAAAAAGTAAGTGGATTAGATAATTTACTATGAGTTCAAGTTTTATTAGCTGATAGTATAAAAAGTATTAATACAATCAGATCATTTAAAATCAATTGCAGGTTTCTACACTAAGTTTAGATCTTATTCCGAAAGAATCTATGTTCAAGTTTTATTAGCTGATAGTATAAAAAGTATTAATACAATCAGATCATTTAAAATCAATCGCAGGTTTCTACACTAAGTTTAGGTCTTATTCCGAAAGAATCTATCTATATAGAATAGGAGAAGTAAAAGCACTATATTAAGACAAGTGGTATAACCACAAAAAGCCAAGTGGCATTGTTAAGACAAAATAAACTACCTTTCTAACTAATTTTTTTTTGAATTTTAAATTTTGAATTAATACACTACTTGAATTAATAAATATAGACATATTATAATTTATCTATAAAAAACGAAAATATAAAAAAATAAACTACTCATTCAAATCTATCTATATAGAATAGGAGAAGCAAAAGATTATAATTTATCTATAAAAAATAAAAATATAAAAAAATACTACTCATTCAAATTGGGGAGTAGTTTCAAGTTGGGGTTTAAAAATTATTTTACAATAAAAAATAAAAAAAACAAAAAATAAAAAAATATCAATTCAAATTGGAGAGTAATTTCTTCCTAAAGAGACTTATAGTTAGAACTATTATGAGAAAAGTGGTACATATACACATAACTAAAGTCATAATAAACAAATAGTAATAAAGGAAGAATACTAAAAACAAATCAAGTGATAGCCTAAAAATATATATACTAATTAAATTTCTCATGTAGGAAGATTTATTTAATAAATAGAACTCATAATTTCATAATGCAAAATACAAAAATATAAAGAAACTATTAGGATATTATACATAAGATAATATATTATANACTATTAGAATATTTTACATAAGATAATATATTATATATAAAACACAAATTATTAGATTAATTTCTTCCTAATATAGTAGTGTGTGTGTGTCTATATATAAAGAAAATTGAAGAATTTTGAACAGTATAACATAAGTATAAAAAACATATTTCCATAATAAGAAAATTTCAGTAAAATATAAAATGGGAAAACTAACCAAATATTATATTAGAAAAGAATGTACGCAAAGAGATGGATAAAGATAATTTTATAATATTTATATTTTTAATTAATAAATAAATATCACTCAATAAAATTATTGATAAATTTAGAAAATTGAAGAATTTTGAACAGTATAACATAATTAAAAAATATTTTCAAAATAAGAAAATATATACTTATGTTCTATTAAAACAGAAGTGATTTAAAAATATTAAGCCAATTGACAAGTTAATAGAAAGTCACATTAGTAAATATATAGTACTAAGTACTTACTAATTTAATAAAGAATAAACAAGGAATAAATAATTTATTTGATTAATAGTACTTTGTATCCTTTGATTTTGTATAGATTTTATTATATTTATGTACACTATATTAAATGATAAAATAATAAAATAATAACTAATATTTATTCAAATAATATGATATATTAGACCATAATTTTATAAGATTAATATTTTGTCAAATTATCCGCGCATCGCGCGGGTTCTAACACTAGTGACGGATAACAAGGGTGAAGCTAGAGTGTAGTTTTCGGGTTCGGCCGAACAAAAGCTTTGATTCAAACTTTGTATTTGTTTTTAAAAAAATCATTAAATATATACAAATTATAGACTAAAAGAAATCCATTCAGACTAGCGAGCTCTGTGATGGAAATGCTCTTTCTATCATTCCATCCTCAATTCCTTAGTCTTTTTAAAATATATTTTACATACTTAAAGACTAGATAAAAAATATTACAAATTACTACTTAAAAAAGTTGTGATAAAAGAAAGTGTAATATTTAGCACAGTTATGGCATAGCATTTAGCATATTGAGATAAAATCAACTATTCTACAAGAATTGGATAAAGTAAGAAAATGAAATGAATATTATATGTACCTAAAAGGTTTACTCTTTTATAACTAGTAATTTATTTATATGTCCTTTTAGTTTGATAAACATTAAAATGGTTAGAAAAGAATTATGAAAGTGAAATTAAGTTTTATCTAACTTGACGGCAAGTCCTTAAAAGTCCTTCAATCATCATGTATTGCCAAAGGAAAGGGAAAAGATACTTTAAAATTTTACCTTAGTCATAGATAATTCCCCATTATTCACTTGCCTATACCTACTATTAAAGAAATTCAAAATTTTTTAAAAAAAATTAACAAAGAAATAAGAAAAAGATTCAAATTTATCCCTGAAGTATGCGATTTGTCTTATAATTTATCCCTGAATTATGCACTGTTAATTTTGTCTCATATTTGCCTCTTCCTCTAACGGTTGTCACCTTGATTCTGACATTTTCCACAGTGGAGCCACATATACAAAGAAAAAAAATTCAAATTCACTCTTAAACTATCAAATTTGTTTAAGCATACCCTTTGCAATAATTTGAAGCATATTTAAACAATTAAAAAATCCAAATATGCAAAAGTTCAAACATAGCACTACGTGACTCATCAGACCAATTTTTTTACTATTAAAATCATTAGTGAAAACTGAAAAGTGTATATTTGTGACGAAAGATAACGATAAAAATTTTTGAGGACCAAAATTAAATAAACAATAAATGCAAGACAAATCGCAAATATTAGAGATATATTTGGATTTTCCCCAAAAAATAAAGAACGAATTTTAAGTTTGATTTGAGTAGTTCTTCTCTTGTGACATAAAGTTTATCACTGAAGTGTGAAGAGAGGTTAACAGAGTGTGATTAGGGAGATTTGACGAACTTCACATGGGATACCACTCAATGTCTACTCAATTCCATTCCTTTTTTGTCATGTCAAAATGGGTGTCCCACAATGTCTGTTGTTGCCATTTTAATTATTTACTTTGACTAAGTAAAGGGTATCTAACATGAATTAAATGAACGATTAAATAATTTTCTATTACCGCAACTTGTTTGAGTTTTTAGTAATACAAAACTCGTAAATTTTATTTCCAAAAACGGTAAATAATTTGTGCCTGAATCACCCTCCATCTTGTAAGAATAAATTGCAGGAGAAGAACAACCAACCGATTGTGACCTACCGATTTCAGTTGGTCAATTAAATTTCATATCCGATCCAAAAAAAAAAGTACGATCCAAAAAACGGATCGGCTTTGATCGATCTTTTTAAATTATGTAATTAAAAAATACACTATTTGAGAAACGAGCTGGGGTCTATACAGTGGCAGAATACTATTTTACCGCTAGACTATTGCTGCTTTTTGGTTTAAGACTTTATTTTATTTTATTTACAACAACAACCCAGTAAAATCCCACTAGACTATATTCTTTAATTGTATTTTTGCGTGAAATAATTTACCGATTTCAATCGATTTTGTCAAAAAATAAAATTATTGATTGAAATTGATCGATTTTTTAAAATGACTGACTGACATATCCGATTGATTTTGATCGATTTTTTAAATATTAATTAAAAAACCGTTCAAAGTTAATAGGTTTCTTGAAAATATTTTTTTTGGAACCAAAAATAATTTTCTGCATTTTGACGCAAAAGAAAATGACCGAATTCGATCGATTTGGTAAAAAAATTGAAAAAGAAAATATTTTAACAGAAAAGTTTGTAAAGTAAAATGACGCAAATGACTGAATTTGGTACTATTAAACTTCTTCTTGGTCTAACTTTTCTTTTCTTTTTCATTTTTCATTTTTTGGTTTTTATATTTTGATCACCTATTAAACTTTTATATCAGCAAAGAGATTTTCAATTTCCTTTGTCCAAAGCTGATATTTGCTCCCATCTTACTATCCAACGGATGATTTCACATAGTGGCGGAATCAAGATTTAGAGTTTATACGTTATTAATTTGCTATTGAATTCATAACTTGTTTAGTAATTGAATTTGTATATATATATAAAATTAAATTTTCAATATAAATATAAAATTTAAGCTAAAGTTATTGAATTTATTCGAACCCAAAACTATTACTCTAACTCTGCCCAAGTTTCACGTTCAAATCACCAAAGGGACCTTCCTTCACTAGCTTTTCAATCGTTGTCTTCTGTGAGTCATTGAGCTTTTCTCGAGTTTTAGTCAATTACATAAAACGTGTAGATAATAATTGCATCTCCTTTTCCCTACTTATCTTTCCAATGATGGTAATAAAGTAACTCTAAAATTATGAAGTGCACATTATTAGCTTATTGCTATCATATTATATGTCGTGGTTACTAAAAATAGTTATCTCAAATTATTTATTATTTTAGAAGTTCAAGACAAAATTGATTATTTTTTTCTTTAATACCCTTAGTAATAATTATTCTTGAAGATGAAATTAATACATAAATAGAATAAATATTCAATGAAAAGAGATTTTATCTTAAGACATAAATAAGGGTAAAATAATCTAATTTTTTTTCTAATTACTATTTCTTAAGGGGCGTGTAAAAAAAAACAAGATAGATAATATGAGATACTAGTTAATGTACTCATCAAACATCATTAGATTTAGATGATTTCTTATCATACATTATTGGACGACCGAACCAATTTAACGCTTTTGCCTTCTAGATTGCACTTTGTGAATCCTTACTAATTTCGACGGCCCCCATCACGATTAAAAGAAACTAAAAAAGAAAAGAAATAAAGCTTAGGTGGTCTTAAAGTCAAATACAAATTAATTGGCTTATTGGGCGAATAAATTTCCACATTAATAGTTGAAAAAAAATTTAAATACATAATGTGGCAAAAATGATGTCAAAT